AACATCCAACGAACGCGTCATCAATGGACATTCTGAAATAAGTTTTCTAAAGTCGCCTATTACCAACCAAAAAAGCGATATCAAGGAAAAAACAAGTAAAATATATCGAGTAAAGTTGCAACTAGAGACTCATTCCAACAGGATCACTTGACCACGACAAGATTGTCAGGAATTGAACGCTCTCACAAACACTGCTCATCGCACCACTTCAGCAAGTAATCCGAGATCACAAACCACCCCTGCACGTGACTAAATATTCTAAGAAACTGCAAAACTCGAGTATCAAAATCACTGATACAATCAATTGTAAAGTATTACTTTGTCTAAAACACACAAATGCACTCAATGTGGCTTAATAGGTATAACCAAACCCAACATATTTTTTCAGTTTCCCGTTGCTTTAGATTTGACTCTCGAGCCACTCCATTACATCCAGCCACTCTCGGGATCCAACTGCATGGGATCGAAGGTGGAATCTCCTTCAGGACTCATTGCAGCACCTTGAATTTCACCTTTTTTTTTTTTCGGGGTTGTGTTTTGGGGGCCTTTTGAGTTTTGGCACTTTCTATCATCGTGGACCTTCTGATGCCTGTTCAGATTGATGACTGAAAATGCCTTCCCACACACAGGGCACAGGAATGGCTTCTCACCCGTGTGCGTTTTCTGATGAGCTTGAAGAGTTGATGACCTGCAAATGCCTTCCCACACACAGAGCACAGGAACGGCTTCTCGCCTGTTGTGTTCTCTGGTGTCTCTGAAGATCTGATTGCCGTGAAAATGCCTTCACACACACAGTGCAATTGAATGGCTCCTTGCTCCCGTGTGCTTGGGGCTTCGCAGAGCGAATCTGCTCCATGTGACTGCGTCTTCTGAGCGGAGTAACAGTAGCGGTGTTATCGATAATTAAAGTATCCTATCGGCCACGAGGATGTTAAGCGTTGAGTTTTTAGACTTTGTTAACTGCCAAAACAAGAATGCCACTCGCGTTTAACCGAGACGCGAAAATACACTTACTTGGAGATTCAGGTGAATCGATGTCTGTAACCCGTCTGAAGATGTCCCCACGAACTCGCATATTCACTTACCATACGAAGCAAAGTCGCCTAACACGAGACAACGCAGCCAGGCTGCGTTGTCTCGTGGTAGAAGGCGATCAGCAGAGCGACGAGTCGAGCGTCCAGCCTCATCAAGTTCCCTCTCGAAATGGCCTTGAGCTCTGCTTCTGAGCCGCCTTATAACTCCCCTCCTAGGATCCAATCCTTTGTCTTTCAGGATATTTGCATTCGATTGTTAACTTTGGAAGGTACAATCCGTATGTCTATTAACATACCGAATGGTAATGTGCCCATTGTGTTTCATGTCTGAATATGTAAGTGCATCTCATTGTGTATATCGCGCTTTTTATGAATAAATTGGATTGTGTAATGGTCGAAACGTCGTGAGAATTTTTATTGTTTTATATATATTTTTATTATTTTGTTGTTTCCCTTCAACGTGACTTTACCGAAAGACTAAGATTATCACATGTAAACTGTAACACTATAAACGATAACACTAAACATTAAACGACTATAAACTAGTGTTATAATTTATAACCATATAAACGGAGGTAAGGTATTGAATCTTATTAGGATTAGAATCACACTGTGGTCGTATTAGAATCGCACTCTGCTCATTTGTATGTATAGTGTACGTGCAAGGATCGGATTACAATTATTACAATTGCAACACGGTCGTATTAGAATCAAGATTCCACTGCTGGATGAATGTTGCATCGCAATGCCATCGAATAGCAATATACGGAATATTTATATAAATAAACGCACAAAACCCATTATAAGCTCATGAGTTTATGAATCGTTACAATTATTATAACAATCACAAATTGTAACAAAGCGAAATTCCCACGAAGCAAACACCACCGTCACGTGACGAATTCTCAAACAAACAGCAACACTCACGTGACAGAGCTCAACACGAAAGGCTACAACAAAACAAACAAACAACAATGGACAGATCATAAAAGCGGACAGCACACGCACTTTAGTAGCTGTTGGAATAAAACAACACCCAGCACCTTCAACTATACACATTGTACAGCCCCAAAGAACCAACTCGTACATTGGGCGGTATATGACATCCTTTGAAATTCTTACTTCCGTTCTCGATTAATGAAGACATTCTTAACAAATGCTATCGCTTTCGCTCGTGATTTGCCTCCTAATTATTCGCCTCGGTTTCGAAAACCACCAAAATAGATGCGATGTTCTCCATTATTCCAAGCCGCACAAATCACGGTTGCAGACTGCTTTGAACGCTCAAATGTTATCACAGTAAACGCTTCGGACCACAGCAGAACACTCAAACTCCAGCATCAGGGAAGCGACGAGATGAGGGGGCTAAGAACTGCAAGCTTATTCGAGTGTTAACGTTATTTCACTAATATAGTTAAGTACACTGTATGTCTTCTTTGGTTCTTTCGGTAAAGTCACGTAGAATGAAATAAATAATAAATTGATAAAATAAAATAACACAATAATATTCTCACGACGTTTCGGCCACAACACAAGCGGCCTTCATCAGGTGAAGGGGACGAGACTGTCTGTCTCCAGCGCTGACCTCCAGACAGTCTCGTCCCTTCACCTGATGAAGGCCGCTTGTGTTGTGGCCGAAACGTCGTGAGAATATTATTGTGTTATTTTATTTATCAATTTATTATTTTATTCTCATTCTACGTGGTGACTTTACCGAAAGAACCAAAGAAGATGAATCCTTGCAGTCACGAAAGCTTTAAATCGAAATTTACACTGTATGTGCTAAGAATTCGTCGACATGACAGGTATCTGGTTCTCCTTAATCAACCAAAATCACGACACATTCTTTCAAAAATGAGCGTGAGCTAATTCTTGAACAGTAATTCGCTAAGCACCCGATGGCACTAACCTACACGCAGTTATGTTTAAACAAAGTCAACTTCAGTGGCTCAAATATCAGCTCGGAGAGGATCATCTAAAATATTTCCCAAGTCGTGAGGGGTCGCACGGGAGCAGGGCCGGCCACAAACAGCCGGGCAGCAGTTGGAGCAGAATCAGAAGTCGCTGCTTTGGCATCGAACGGTTTGTAGCTGCTGAAGTTGCTTCTGTTGCTGTTATATACGCAGGGTGTTGGTGTCTCGTGATGGGATAACGACTTTGATTTAAAACAAAAAACTCTGATTAAACCTACCAGATGGACGCCCTCGATCGACGCTTTTGATATACTCTTACATTGTAAACTCTCACTCTGTAAACGTTTACATTATGAACTCCAACAATATAACTTAAAAAAAAACTATAACATATACATTTGAAGAATAGAAAAATAACTGTAAACTAGTTTTATAGTAAACTCTGAATTTGCGAACGCTGACAATATAATCTATGAGCTATACATCATAACGCTATAAAATATTATAACTAGTGTTATAGATTAGAACAACGTACATTGAAGTGTGATATTCGAATCGCATTCGAATTATTAGAATCACTCTGTGGCCCTCTTCGAATCACACTAAGTATGTATGTAACATGTCTGTATGTAATATGTATGTATGTAACATGTCTGTATGTAATAAGTATGTATGTAACATGTCTGTATGTAATATGCATGTAACATGTCTGTATGTAATAAGTATGTATGTAACATGTCTGTATGTAATAAGTATATGTAACATGTCTGTATGTAATAAGTATGCATGTAACATGTCTGTATGTAATAAGTATGCATGTAACATGTCTGTATGTAAATGTATGTATGTAACATGTCTGTATGTAATAAGTACGTATGTAACATGTCTCTATGTAAGTATGTATGAAACATATCTGTATGTAAAATGTATGTATGTAATATGGACGTGCCAAACAAGGGTGGGAAATGTGAAACGGAAGGTGCAGGATCGGATTTAAATTATTTGAACAACACGTTGGTCTATTATAATGACACTGTGCTCGAATCTTTGTTATTTGTAAATGTGCATCGGGAGTTGGAAATGCGACCTGGATGTGGCAGATTTAGAATCGAATCAAAATGATTAGAATCACACCATGGTCGTATTAAAATCAAGCTGCCCACTGTTGGATTATTGTTCCATCTCAATGGCAGCGAATAGCAATATTCAGTATTGTTGTTGGGCGTGGATCCTACCAGCGCAACCTTGCGCATTTTGACCTGGTTCTCGACGCCAGTCCCTCGCCCATGATGGAATCTTGTGCCTTTCCGGGCGTCAAGGGTTCACACCACAGCCTTGAAGCGTTAGGCAGGTCCCTGGCTTCTTGTAAAGAATTTGACCGGGCTCCAGGCACCGGTCCCTCGCACGTGGCAGATCCTCGAGGCACCCCGGGCCTCAGGGGCTGGGAAACTGTGGGCGGATCAACACATCTCCTTTGGCGTACGGTCTCCGTTGTGGAGCGCCCCACCACGTCGGACACAGCAGACTTGGCCTGTACAGGACATGGGGATGAGCTGTCTGGGTGGGCACGGAGAAAGGTCCTCGTTATAAATCGTTTCGCAACGTTCCGGTCACGGATCCCGAAGTATACCGGGGATCACCTGTACTCTATAAACACGTAAACTGATAACACTATAAACAATAACACTAAACATTAAACGACTATGAACTATCAACTGGTTTTATAATTTATACCACCATTAACGGAGGGACGGTATTATAATCTCATTAGCAGTATTATAAAATCGCACTCTGCTCATATGTATGTAAAGTGAACGTTCAATCGAACCGAGCGTCGGATATGCGAACTGCGGGGGGTGCAGGGTTAGAATCGCATTAAAATTTTACAATAACAAATGGTCGTATTAGCATTTTACTGTGCTTGAATGTATGTTATGCGCAAATGCAAATAGTTTAGTCGTAAATGCGAGGCAGGGGTTAAGATGTGCACCGTTAATCCGGTGTTAACGTATTTTTAAAAATATTATTTTAGCAGATATTGTTGATAAGAATTCGTCTGGACATGGCACGTGCCTTGTTCTTTGTCCGTCAAAGGAGTTCATTCATGAGGAGTATTCGCTGAGCCACCGATGACACTAACCTACATCAAGTTATGGTTAAACAAAGTAATCTACAGTCGCTTAATTATCAGCTCAGACATCATCATCGCAATCATTTCCAACGATGTGTGGGGTCCCGAGAGAGCAAGGCCCGGCCACAAACAGCCGGGTAGCGGAAGCAGCAGAATCAGAAGTAGCTGCGTCGCATTTGATCAACTGTGACATTGTAAACTCTCAACTGTTAAACTCTAACAAGGTGAAATATAATATTATAACCTATTAACTAAAACCTATCCATTGTAACGCTGTAAAATACGATTAACTGTTATAGTGTATAACCACGTAAATTGAGGTATGGGATAATAATGGTATTGGAATCATTAGAATCGCACTGTGCTCGTATTAGAATCACACTGTGGTCGTACGTATGGAAAGTGAATATGCGAACCGGGGAAGGATATGCAGGATAAGAATCGAATTACAATATTAAAATCCCACTAGTCGTATTAGAATCACACTGTCCACTGTTGGATGATTGTGTCGTATCAATGGAATCGAATATCTATATACACTATATATACACATACAAAGATTATAACAATCACACATTGTAACATATGTACAATACACATGATTTAAAAACGTATTTAAAATGTTTTATTTTTTTACTTTTACTGAGAGTCGTTGTCCATGTAGGGAGATGGAGCGCAGTGGATCGTATCGTCTCCGCTATGTTTCGGAATCCGTGTGATCACCCAGTCACATCGCCTAACTCCAGTCACAGCGCCTTACCCAAACTACATCTCCCCAACAAGGCAGCCTTCCCGCTTCTGTGTATTGTGTTTATGGGATAACAGAGGTGTCTATTATCCCATACGCCTTGACTAAAACGACTGATTGCCCGCTTAACACCCTAGCTCATAAACCACTATTGGTGACAGTGTTGTTTGAGAGCAGCTATTAAAGTGGCTGCGGCAAATGAGGTGGTGGCTGGCCGAACCGTGCCTCGCTGTTTGTCTCCGGAGTGATGACGGATACAAACCAGACCAAGCGGAGGCCATGTACCAGATCGGGTTTTGGTTACTGATGTTAGAGTGATTGTGTTGCAAGTGTGGTCACTACGCGTCTGAACGTGCTCAAGCCCCGAAGCTCGGCGGTTGTGGGCAACGCCACGTGACTGCATTCACTTTAATTCGAGGACAATGGAGGGCATGGGGAAAGTGTTTTTACAGCGCTAATCCAATTTATTCAAAATAAGCGCGCAATTACACAATGAGATGCACTTACATATTCAGGCATGAAACACAATAGGCACATTACGATTCGGTATGTTAATAGACATACGGATTGTACCTTCCAAAATTAACAATCGAATGCAAATATCCTGAAAGACAAAGGATTGGATCCTAGGAGGGGAGTTATAAGGCGGCTCAGAACAGAGCTCAAGGCCATTTCGAGAGGGAACTTGATGAGGCTGGACGCTCGACTCGTCGCTCTGCTGATCGCCCTTCTAACGCGAGACAACGCAGCCTGGTGAACACAATTGCTGTGTCGACAGTTAGGCGACTTTGCTTCGTATGGTGAGTGAATATGCGAGTTCGTGGGGACATCTTCAGACGGGTTACAGACATCGATTCACCGTGAATCTCCAAGTAAGTGTCTATTTTCGCGTCTCGGTTAAACGCGAGTGACGTTCTTGTTTTGGCAGTTAAAGAAATCCACAAACGTAACGCTTAACATCCTCGCGGACGATAGGGTACTTTTAATTATCGATAACACCCGCTACTGTTACTCCGCTCAGAAGACGCAGTCACATGGAGCAGATTCGCTCTGCGAAGCCCCTAGCACACGGGAGCAAGGAGCCATTCAATTGCACTGTGTGTGTGAAGGCATTTTCACGGCAATCACATCTTCAGAGACACCAGAGAACACACACAGGCGAGAAGCCGTTCCTGTGTTCTGTATGTGGAAAGGCATTTGCAAGGTCATCAACTCTTCAAGCTCATCAGAAAACGCACACGGGTGAGAAGCCATTCCTGTGCCCAGTGTGTGGGAAGTCATTTTCTCTCTCGTCAACTCTTCAGATTCACCATAGAACACACACGGGTGAGAAGCCATTCCTGTGTACTATGTGTGGAAAGGCATTTGCTCAGTCATCAACTCTGAACAGGCATCAGAAGGTCCACGATGATTGGAAACTGAAATCAAAAGGTGGAATTCAAGGTGCTGCAATGAGTCCTGAAGGAGATTCCACCTTCGATCCCATGCAGTTGGATCCCGAGAGATGGCTGGATGTAATGGAGTGGCTCGAGAGTCAAAACGAGAGCTAGGGGTGACTGAGAAATAATGTTGCATGTGGTTTAACCTATTAAGCCGGATTGAGTAATTTCGTGTGTAAATATGACCCTTCACTTTACAGGTTTTTTTGTGAGAGTTTCGTGACGTGAATAGTGGTGGTTTTTAATTTCATCGGATTAATTGCTGAAGTGGTGTGATGACCACTGGCAGTGAGAGGGTTCAATTTATGACAATATTGTCGTGGTTAAGTGTTCTTGTTGAGCTTAATTTGGAATGAGTCTGTTGTTACATCTTTACTCAACATTTTAAACGTGTTTTTCCCCCTTTAGTTTAGTTTTTTGTTTGGTAAAAAGAGACTTTAGATATTTCAGGATGCACATTGATGACGCGTTATTTGGGTGTATATGTTACACTTCAACACAGATGCACAGTGAACAAACGGGGTTAACTAATTAGGACATCAATGGGAGTGACATGGTTTGCATTGTTCTGTAATTGTGTGAACATAAGACGTAATAAACATTTGATAAGAGTTTTAACGTAACTATTATTACAGATGAATAAAAAAAACATTACTTTCAACAATTGATCTTCCCTTATTTGTTTTGATCAAAAACGTGTGGAACCGAGTTTCAGGTGGAGTATCTCCATCACACGAGTCTGCCCATTTCACACTCAAACACTTTAGAAAACACACAAGGGCGAAAAGTCATTCCTGTGCATTGTGTGCTGTGTGTTGAAATGCATTTTCACGTTCAGAAAATCTCCTGTGCACTGTGTGTGGAAAGTAATTTGTAAGTCATCAAAACTGAACAGGCATCGGAAGGTCCACATTTACAGGATATGCAGGATTAGAATCGCATTACTGTAGTCATATGAGAATCAAACTGTCCACTGATGGATGAATGTCATATAAATTTAATAGAATGTATATTTGTTCAGTAAAAAGCGTATAAAGAGGTAAACAATCACACATTATAGCACATGTATATACATTACACGTGAATTTAAAATATGTCAAAAATGTGTTCATTTAAAAACTGATAATTTCGTGGACCATGTGGGGAGATGGAGCGCAGTGGATCGGATCGTCTCCGCTGCTGTCGACGGGGCCAAGCAGCGAGTGTTGAACTCCATTGTTTCAGAATCCGATATCACCCGGTCACAGCGCCTAACTCCAGTCACAGCGCCGAACCCAAACTACATCTCCCCAACAAGGCAGCCTTCCCTCTGCTGTGTATTTTAGCAATATATTTAAGAACGCTATTGAAGATAACTATTCGTCTTGAAAAGGCAGGTGACTTGTTCTACCAAAATGATTACAATTTCTTTCATTAAGGAGTGAGTTCATTCATGAGTAGTATTCAATAAGCCCCGATGGCACTAACCTCCACACAGTTATATTGAAACAAAGTAAACATTAGTCGCTCAAAGCTCAGCTCATTCATGGTCATCGCAATTATTTCCAAATCCGTGTGGGGTCCCGCCAGAACAGGACACGGCCACAAACTCTCACATTGTCAACTCTCACACTGTAAACTCAAACATTATGAACTCTAAGAATATGAGCTATACATTGTAACGCTATAACAATATAAACTAGTGTTATAGTAAACTATAATGTTGTGAACTCTAGCAATATGAGCTACACATTATAACGCTATAAAAGAACATCATAAATAGATTAGAACACCGTACATTCAAGTGTGATATTGGAATCGCTTGCGAATTATTAGCTTCACACCTTGGTCCTCTTTGAATCACAACAATGTTCGTAAGTATGTAACATGTCTGTATGTAATATGTCTGTATGTAACATGTATGCAACATGTATGTAACATGTCTGTATGTAATATGGACATGCGAACCAAGGGTGGGATATGTGAAACGGAAGATGCAGGATCAGGATGGGATTATAATTATTTCAATAACATTTTGGTGGTATTAGAATCAAGCTGGCCCCTGATGGATGAATGTTCCATCTCAATGGCATCAAATAGCAATAAACAGTATATATATAGTAATCGCACAAACACAATATAAGCCCGTGCAATTATGAATCGTTACAATTGTAACGACTCCGGACTCAGACTATAGAGGGTTCTTTTGTTTAGGCTTTAACACGGCTTAGGACCCCGGCGTCACGATATAGCAACGACGACGAGGAGACAGCAACCAGCCACGACCCGAATCCCCACTAACACAGCCCCGAACCTCGTTCCTCCACCTCTCTTACTCTCGGCGTGAACCTCCCCCAAACCTTGGTCTCGCCTTCCCTTCTTGAACTCTCTCTATCCTGTTGTCACCACTTGTCCCTTCGTTGACGCACTGTCTGAACATCACCCCCAACCACCCAACCTCTTAAAACAAAATGAGCCGTCTCGGCAAACAACAATTTTTAGAAGCCACGTGCGTCAGGGCAGCAGCTGTAGCAACATTTTCCCGACGCCCGACAATCACAATCTTAACGCTCATCTGTACGGGGTAAGCGGTGTGACCCTACTCACCCGACAACAACAACAACACGAAAACATTAAAACAACAACAACAATAATCCTAACATGCTTCCACGTTGTCCACAGCCTTGAAGCGTTAGGCAGGTCCCTGGCTTCTTGTAAAGAATTTGGACCGGGCTCCAGGCACCGGTCCCTCGCACGTGGCAGATCCTCGAGGCACCCCGGGCCTCAGGGGCTGGGAAACTGTGGGCGGATCAACACATCTCCTTTGGCGTACGGTCTCCGTTGTGGAGCGCCCCAACACGTCGGACACAGCAGACTTGGCCTGTACAGGACGTGGGGATGAGCTGTTTGGGTGGGCACGGAGAAAGTTCCTCGTTATAAATCGTTTCGCAACGTTCCGGTCACGAATCCCGAAGTATACCGGGGATCACCTGTACTCTATACCACGTAAACTGATAACACTATAAACAATAACACTAAACATTAAACGACTATAAGCTATACACTTTTTCACGTATTCCACCATAAACGGAGGTACGGTATGAGAATGTCATTAGAATTATTTTAATCGCATCTGCTCGTATGTATGTAAAGTGAACGTTCTATCGAATCGGGGACAGATTTGCGAACTCTGGGTGGGTGCAGGGTTAGAATCGCATTAAAATTCCGAGAATAACAATATGGTCTCTTAGCATTTTACTGTGCTTGAATGTATGTTATGGGTGGGTGAGTGAGTTGTCGAGTGGATGTGTGTTTGGGTGCGTGGGTGGGTGAGTGTGTAGGTGGGTGATTGTGTGGGTGGGTCAGTGGGTGGTTGGGTGAGTCAGTGGGTTAGTGGGTGAGTGAGTGGGTAGGTGAGTGGGTGAGTGGGTGGGTGAGTGGGTGGGTGGGTGAGTGTGTGTGGGTCAGTGGGTGGTTGGGTGAGTCAGTGGGTAGTGGGTGAGTGAGTGGATGTGTGAGTGGGTAGTTGAGTGGGTGAGTGGGTGGGTGAGTGTGTGGGTGGGTGTATTTAGGTGGTTGGGTGAGTGAGTGGGTTAGTGGGTGAGTGAGTGGATGGGTTAGTGGGTGAGATGGTAGATGAGTGGATGGGTGAGTGGTGAGTGGGTGGATGTGTGGATGCGTGGGTGAGTGGATGATGGGTGGGTGACTGTGTGGGTGGGTGGGCGAGTGGGTGAATGTGTGGATGCGTGGGTGAGTGGTGGGTGACTGGGTGGGTGAGTAGGTGGGTGGGTTGGCGAGTGGGTGAGTGTGTGGGTGGGTGTTTGAGCGGGTGGGTGAGTGGTTGGGTGATTTGGGTGGGTGGCTGGGTGAGTGGGTGCGTGTGTGGGTGGATGAGTGAGTGATTGGGTGAGTGAATGGATGGGTGGGTGAATGGGTGAGTTGCTGGGTGATTGGGTGAGTGGGTGCGTGGGTGAGTGAGTGGGTGGGTGTGTGAGTTGGTGGGTGCATGAGTGTGTGAGTGGGTGGGTAAGTGGGTGGGTGGGTGAGTGAGTGTGTGGGTGAATGAGTGTGTGGGTGGGTGAGAGTGGGTGGGTGGGTGAGTGAGTTGATGGGTGGGTGGGTGAGTGGGTTAGTGGGTGAGTGAGTGAGTGGGTCAGTGGGTGCTTGAGTGAGTGAGTGGGTGAGTGGGTGCGTGAGTGAATTTGTGTTTGGGTGAGGGAGTGGGTGAGTGTGTGGGTGAGTAAGTATGTGTCTGGTGAGTATCTGAGTGATTGTCTGTGTGTCTAGACACTGCCTGCTACAAACCAGCACTTGCCCCTCCAGCTTGCTTGAGGCTACCGGTGCCACCTCTGCCTCTATCTCTGTCTCTGTTCGTTCACGTGGAATCTCAGCAGCCTCCAATCCTCGTGACTACTCCCCATTCACTCACCCACTAACTCACTCACACACCCACACACTCAGTCACACACTCACTCACTAACACACTCACTATCTCACCCGCTCACTCAATACTCAGACACTCACTCACCACTCACAAACTCACTCACCCACTCACTCACACACTCACTCACCACTCACACACTCACTCACCACTCACAAACTCACTCACCCACTCACTCACACACTCACAAACTCACTCACCCACTCACTCACACACTCACCACTCACACAAACTCACTCACTCACAAACTCACTCACCACTCACTCACACACTCACACACTCACTCACCCACTCACTCACCCACTCACTCATACACACACTCACTCACACACTCACTCACACACTCACTCATACACACACTCACCCACTCACACACTCACTCAGACACTCACTCACTCAGACACTCACTCACTCATACACACACTCACCCACTCACTCACACACTCAATCACACACTCACTCAGACACTCACTCACCCACACACTCACTCACACACTCACTATCTCACCCGCTCACTCAATACTCACTCACTCACTAACCCACTCAATCACCCACTCACTAACCCATTCACCCACTCACTCACACACTCACTCAGAAACTCACTCACACACTCAGTCAATCACAAAGTCACACACTCACTCACACACTCACTCATACACACAATAACCCACTCACTCACACACTCAGACACTCACTCACTCACCTACACACTCACACACTCACTCACTAATTCAGACACTCACTCACTCAGACACTCACAAACTCATCCACTCACTCACACACTGACTCACTCACTCAGACACTCACTCACCCACACATTCACTCACTCTATGAGTTTGGGTCTCTGTGTATTTCTCTGAGTCGCTATGTATCTTTAGATATCTCTAAGTATCTGTACATATCTCTAGATATCCCAAAGTATGTCTAAGCACCCCTAAATATCTGTGTATCTCTATATAGCTCTAAATATATATCTATTAATCTCTAAGTACCTCCTAAGTCTCTCTACATATCTCTAAGTATCTCTATGTTAGAGTCTCCGGGAAACTCTCCATTTGCACATTCCACGCCCTGGAATCAGCTGATCCCTTCCCACGAGGTGCACACACACAGATATATACAGTATACATTATAGTCAGCCTGCAGTGTCTCTCTCTCTCTCTGGCTCTCTCTCTCTCTGTATCTCTGTCGTCTGTCTCTATCTGTGTCTCTGTGTGTACAGAGTCACAGCAGACCCAGCTATACCAGCAGCATCAGTGAGTGTGTTAATCTGTCTGTGTGCGTCTGTGTATGTTAGTGTATTTCTGTATCTGTGTGTCTGTGTGTGTGCGTCTGTGTGTGTATGTGTCTGTGTGTGTTTGTGTGTTTGTCTGTGTGTGTGTCTGTCTGTATCTGTCTGTGTGTTTATCTGTCTGTATCTGTCTGTGTGTTTGTCTGTGTTTGTGTGTCCGTGTTTGTGTCTGTGTGTTTGTCCGTGTTTGTGTCTGTGTGTTTGTCTGTGTTTGTGTATGTATGTGTGTGTGTCTGTATCATTGTGTATGTGTGTCTGTGTGTGTGTTCTGTGTGTGTCTGTATGTCTCTGTGTGTGTCTGTCTGTGTCTTTGTGTGTGTCTTTGTGTATGTCTGTGTGTGTGTCTGTCTATGTGTGTCTGTGTGTCTGCATGTGTGTCTGTCTTTGTGTGTGTGTCTGTGTGTCTTTGTGTGTTTATGTGTGTCTGTCAGTATCTGTCTGTGTGTTTATCTGTCTGTATATGTCTGTGTGTCTGTGTGTTTGTCTGTGTTTGTGTGTCTGTGTTGTTTGTCTGTGTTTGTGTCTGTGTGTCTGTGTCTGTGTGTGTCTGCATGTTTCTGTGTGTCTGCCTGTGTCTTTGTGTGTCTGTGTGTGTGTGTCTGTGTGTGTGTCTGTCTGTGTGTGTCTGTGTGTGTCTGTGTGTGTGTCTGTCTGTGTCTGTGTGTGTCTGTCTGTGTGTGTCTGTGTGTGTCTGTGTGTGTGTCTGTCTGTGTCTGTGTGTGTGTCTGTGTGGCTGTCTGTGTGTGTCTGTGTGTGTGTGTGTCTGTGTGTATGTCTGTGTGTGTCTTTGACTGTGTGAGTGTCTGTGTATGTGTGTGTTTGTCTGTGTGTGTCTGTCTGTATCTGTCTGTGTGTGTCTGTGTCTGTGTGTGTGTCTGCGTGTGTGTCTGCGTGTGTGTCTGCATGTGTGTCTGTGTGAGTCTGTGTGTGTCTGTGTGTGTCTTTGAGTGTGTGTGTCTGTGTGTGTATGTGTTTGTCTGTTTGTGTGCCTGTGTGTGTGTCTGTGAGTGTGTGTGTGTCTGTGTATGTATGTGTTTGTCTGTTTGTGTGTCTGTGTGTGTGTCTGTCTGTATCTGTCTGTGTGTTTGTCTGTGTGTGTATCTGTGTCTGTGTGTCTCTTTCCGTCTCATAGAGTTCCGGGATCGATACCCACGACCTCCTGCGTTCCAGGCGAGGTAGTCAACATCGTCCAATAACCCCCTGAGGCTCCGCCCCCCTCATCCTGGCCTCGCCCCCTTTCTTTCGCCACGCCCATCGCAACGACCCCCTCAGCTTGACGATGGGGGGAGTAGACAAGGACCATCAGCCAATCGCGTCGCTTGGATCCGCTGGGGGGCGTGGCGGTCCTTCCTATGAGGAGGGGCTCAGGTGAGTGAGTGGGTGGGTAATTGGGTGAGTTGGAGGGTGAGTTGGATGAATGAGTGGGTGAGTGAGTGGGGGGGTGAGTGAGTGGGTGGGTGAGTTGGTGGATGGATGAGTGCGTGGGTGACTGAGTGGGTGGGTGAGTGAGTGGGTAGGCGAGTGAGTGGGTGAGTACGTGGCTGGGTGAGTGAGTTCGACCTCACGATCCAATGACGCATTATTACAGCTGATCTCCCCCCCCCCTACCCCGTGTGAGTGATCTGCAGGGCCGGTATCTCCATCCTGTGTCTGCTCCTCGCCCTCTCGCTGGGGCTTCTCTTGTGCTGCTTCTTGAGGACGAGGAAGAGATGGTGGAGGAGGTGGTGGCGGGTGGATACTCTGAGCTGATGGAGCAGCACCAGCTGGTGAGTCAGTCAGGGTGGCAGGGTGAGTGGGTGGGTGAATGGGTGAGTGAGTGGGTGAGTGAGTGGGTGGGTCGGTGAGTGGCTGGGTGAGTGTGGTGGGTGAATGGGTGGGTGGAAGGGTGAGTGGCTGGGTGGGTGGGTGAGTTGGTGGGTGGATAATCTGAGCTAATGGAGCAGCACCAGCTGGTGAGTCAGTCATGGTGGTCGGGTGGGTGAATGGGTGAGTGGGTGAGTGAATGGGTGAGTCGGTGGGTGAGTGTGTGAGTGAATGCGTGAGTGAGTGAATGCGTGAGTGAGTGAGTGAATGGGTGAGTGGGTGAGTGAGTAAGTGAATGGGTGAGTGAGTGAGTAAGTCAGTGAATGGTTGAGTGGGTGTGTGAGTGGGTGAGTGTGTGGGTGAGTGGGTGGGTGGGTGAGTGGGTGTGTGGGTGAGTGTGTGGATGATTGGGTGGTTGTGTGGATGGGTGAGGTTCACGATGGGCGTGTCGTTGGCTCCGCTCCAATTGGCTTTCGTGCGCAGATGGCAGGCGACCCTCCTGGCGGCCAATTGGAGACGGGGGGGCGTGGCCTCGTGCCCACGGCCCCCGCCCACAAGGGGCGTGGCTTCGAAGCGACCAATGAGGTGCGTGTGCTGATACTCGCTACTATTGACAGCACTTGCCCCTACAGCCTGCTAGAGGCTACACGGGAAGCTTTGCATGTGTCTGTATTTAGCAGAACTTGCCCCTACAGCCTTCTAGAGTCTACCTGGGGGAGCTTTGCCTGTGTCTGTGTGTAACTGCACTTGCCCCTACAGCCCTGCTAGAGACTACCTGTGGGTTCTTTTGCCTCTGTCTGTGTGTCTGCAGATTTCACCTCCTCCATACGAGAAGACAGCTCCACTGGATTCACCACCGCCATATCCAGCTCACAACACAGATTCACCACCTGTGGTGCCACAACTGCGGAGCAGCTCCACAGGCACGGCGACTCCCTCCCGGCCCCCCGCACTAAACACGCCACCCACACGCAGCGCACCCACGTAGTGTCCTGGCGGGGGTTGCCTGGCACATCGGGTTTTAATCCGAGGGGCCCCTAGGTGGGAGAGTCCCGGTTTCCCGGTGCCAGGAGATTGGCCGACCCCCACAGGACAGGTTTACATTGTGGTGTACACTAAATTGGCTTAAAAATTGTACGGGCGCAAAGAGAAAAGGTTCCCTGGGCCAACCGCAATGAGCTACGCACAGCATTGGGGGGAGGACGGAGGGTGGAATGTTTGGCATAGAGACCAGACCCGAAAGCTGAAACTGCTGGGCACGGGAGAACAATGGGTAAGGGGTGAACAGAGCAAAAAAAAACCTAGGCACAAACTCATAAAACGATGGGTGGAGGCGTAGCGGACGCTCCAGGTCAGGGCGAGGCATCACTTGCAAATCGAAAGGTCGGCGCGTGATTGGCTGCGTGACGCGACGCCCCCCGTGCCCCTCCCCCCCGGCCTGTGAAGTTGATGACAGGGGCAGCTGTCTACAACCTGTCACGACTCACTCCCTGCTGCCGTCCTGCCTCTTCAAGCCGCTCGCAGCGTCCGTGTGATGCCAGCGAGTGCTGCTGCGAGACAGCGATTGGGCAAAGTCTTCTCTCGTCCTTCTCCCTCAGACCCACTCAGCGCCGCGGGTCCAGTTTCGAGGCACGTGTAGGACGTCTGAGTAGCTGGGTTCACAGGCAGAGTTTACGCTGGGCTCCTCTCGCGAAATATTCCTCCTCCGGGTAATTGCCTATCGGCGCCATTTAATAAACTCTCGCAACAGAATATCGGTGCAGTGTGATCTCTCTGTGTGTGTGTGTCGGGGCAGAACCTCGGCGTGGCGTCTGTGATCTGTGTCCGTTGCCCCGTCTGCTGTGGAGCGACGGTGAGCCCGGCGAGTGATTGGAGCGAGCGCGAGAGGCTCGTGTAGTGCAGCACACTCACGGCCACCGTCGTTTTTCACAGCGCTTGAGCTCGCTTGCAGCGCGTTTACACGGCGCGCTTTACGCAGCGAGTTCGCATTACGCTGCCGGTTTCCTCCGGGGAGGGGTGCCGTAGCGCCGGCCGTCGGGGCAAGCGCGAGCCTGCAGGGGAGCGCCTCCGTGTTCGTCTTTGTGTGGCGGTGGCTACGTGTGCGTGTGGGAGATTTGCCCCGTGTAGCGGTAAGCCAGCCGTTCAGGTGTGTCGCTCAGAGAGGGCGCGGGGGAGCGGAGCGGGGTGGACTCCGCTCACGCGGAGCGAGGAGGTGGACGTCGGAGCCCACAAATTGGTGTCAGAGGTGGGGTGACCCCCCACACACTTGCCAGGGAAGAGAGGCGCCCCACCCCAAGTGAAAGTAAGGTACGTGTTCACCGGGCGAGGGATACCGTCGCGGAGATCGTTTGCCCGGAACCTCAAGTATACAAAATATTTCAACGGTTGGACGGACGCGCAAGCACTGCAGCAGCTAAATATTAATTTGGATGGGCGGACAGCCGACTTTGTGGAATCGCTACCCACAAGCGCGCAAGCCCATTGGGGAGAGGTAATGCGCCGCATCCGCCGACGCTTCTGTGCGTATGACCGTGAGGAGGCAAAGGCAGCATTCAATTAACGTCGCACGTCAGCCCGTGAGGACCCCCGCAACCACGCCGAGGTCGTGCCCTCGCTAACGCAGAGCGCACGCCCGGGGTACGCAGCCGGAGATGATTGATGACCTCGCCGCAGAGAAAGTTCCGGAGTGTCTGATGAGCACGGCGTGGTGGCAGCCAGATGCGAACTGCCCGTACCCCCCACTTAACGCCCTTGTTGAGCGCTACCCGGAATGGGTAGCAGGGATACAGACGGGCATCAGGGATATACGCGAGGAGGAAAACCAAAACATGTACAAACTGCGGTCTATGTGGAGGTAGTTCAGTCGGAGGTGGGAGGACTGGGCAGGTGTCTCAGTTAGAGGCAGAGCTCGAACAAATGAGCACTGGGAGAGGAAAGAGGGAGTGAGCAAAGGCTTCCCATGGAGCCACCACCCTTCCCCGTGCGTGCTATATATGTGACCAATGGGACCATCGCGTGAGAGACTGTCCCCAGATTGCCCGCGCTAGACAAGCGCCAGGGTTAAGCACCAAGGCCTCCCTAGAGAGGGGACCACCGAAGGGTGCAATCGACGTGGTCCCAACACAAATGAACTGTAATGATTATCAGTTTAACACGTAGCAGGCTTTCGCGACCAATATTATTCATAATGAAGGTTTTTGGTGGGTTAGATCGCGTTATCTATAAATGTGTCGTAATGATAATGGCGAGCGAGTGACCCCCCAGGTAGATGCCTGCAACAACACCCAAGACGCGGCGACTTTGGGCGACTGGCTGCGGGAGCTGGTGGCGGGAATCACGGGGGCCACGTCACTGGTGGAAGGGCAGGTGAACAGATGGTGTACCCAGATTCTTCTGGACAGGGGCCAGTAGCCTCACTCGTGAGCACAAAACACTGCAGCGTGGTCGGGGTTGACGTGGGCCGCCTACAGGCCCCGGATCGCGTCCCGCACACTGCAAGCGGAGCTGGGATGGGACTGCTGGGGAGGGTCACGCTCGAGGTCCATCTCGGACGCCGGGTGTGTACTCAGGAGTTCTATGTGTCGAGCGTGTTATGACACAAGTGTATTGCAGGTACCGACCTCCTGGTAAATTTGGGGCTCGACGTGCAGCCCCGCCAGCGATGCCCCACCGTGGAAGGCAGCGGGGAGCGGATTCCGTTCCTGGGACAAGAGCCGGATCGCCCAAGCTTCACACCTGTGGCCTCTATCCCGGTGTTGGCCGTCACCGTCGGGCCTCTCACGGAGATGCTGGTGCCGGTGGCAGCACCCTCCACCGACCCCACACACCGGCCATCGGGTGAGGTAATGCCGACTCCTCGCTCAGAGTTGGCGGCACGGTACGGGGCAGTGGGGTCGGCCACACTGGTAAACGCGGACGGGGGCCGACTGTTTACGCGGTTGTTTAACCCCCACAGTACCCCAGAAGCGCTGCGACGGTGCACCGCGGCAGCTAGCTACAGTACAACCACTGTACACGTGCCACTCTAACAGCTCGGTATTTGCCCTCTGGGCTGAGGAGCCCTGCCGCCCCGAGGACAACCAGGACCCGGCCTGGCGAGTCGGACCGACTCCCAGAGCCGAGGTCGTCCCCCTGCTTGACGCGCTACGTGTACCCTGGGCAGATTTACCCAAGGGGGGCTGATCAGCTGTGCGGGTTACTGCGGGAGCACGCCGACGTGTTTAGTGAGCATGATTCTGATGTGGGTCGCACAGACCTCGTTAAGAACCAAATTGACACCGGTGCCGCCCGACCCTTTAAACTCCCAGCATACCGGGTGGGAAAACCCGAATGGGCCTAGATTAAAGATGCGGTCGCGGATATGCTCCTCGATAGCATAATCCAGCCCTCGGCGAGTCCCTGGTCTGCCCCTGTTGTGCTGGTGACGAATAAGGATGGGTCGACCCGGTTCTGCATTGATTATCGAAAACTGAATGCGGTTACCATCGGCGACGCCTTGCCCATCCCCACATCGATGACACCTTTGACAGCCTCGCTGGGGCGCGGTATTTTTCCACCCTTGATCTAGCGTCCGGATACTGGCAGGTGGAGATGGCAGAGGAGGATCGGAAAAAAAATACCGCATTTAACACCCCGAAGGGACTGTTCGAGTTCCGAGTGCTTCCGTTCCGTTCGGACTCACTAACGCGCCTACGACAAACCAGCAGTTGACGGAGTTGGTGATGCGGGGCATGCAAGGGGAACAGTGCCTAATTTACCTGGATGACGTGATAGTGTTCAGTAGGTCCCTGTCTGAGCACTGGTCCAGGTTACGGGATGTGTTCCAGTGACTGCGAGCAGGCCATCTCAAGCTCAAGCCGCGTAAGTGTCCTATTGTGCAGCGTGAGGTTGGGTACCTCGGACACCGCGTCAGCGAGGCAGGGAAGCACACAGACACAGAAAAGGTACGCGCCATAGTGGAATGGCCACGGCCGAGGAACCTGACAGGGATCAGGTAATTTTTGGGGCTAGCCACTTACTATCGTCGGGGTTGTGAAGGGATTCAGCAGGATTCCACGCCCCCTCACCCAACTCACTTCCCCAAAGAATCCCGATCAGTGGATGGAGGCCTGCCAGACGGCCTTCACCACCACCTCAAGGACCACCTCTCCCATACTCCCACCCTGGCTTTCCCTGACTTTTCCACCGATTTTATTTTGGACACCGACGCCTGTAGCAGTGAGCTGGGCGCGGTGTTGTCACAGGTGCAGGATAGGACGGAGCGGGTCATCGCAAACGCCAGCCGGACCCTGAGCGGGCCGAACTTAATTATTGTGTGACCCGTCAGGAACTGTATGCCGTGATTTTCGCGTGTAAGCTGTTCCGGCCATATCTGTGTGGCAGGAAATGTCGCGTGCGCTCTGCAGTTCCTCCTCACATTCAAGGAACCGCGGGGGCAGATGGCCCCGTGGCTGATGCAGCTGCAGGAGTACAACCTGCAGATCGAGTACAGGGCTGCAGATCGAGTACAGGGCTGCAGATCGAGTACAGGGCTGCAGATCGAGTACAGGGCTGCAGATCGAGTACAGGGCTGCAGATCGAGTACAGGGCTGCAGATCGAGTACAGGGCTGCAGATTGAGTACAGGGCTGCAGATCGAGTACAGGGCTGCAGATCGAGTACAGGGCTGGACGGACGCATTGTTAAGGTGACCCGCGGTGTGCTCCAAGACACAGGCTGAGGAGGCCTGCCGTACTTCACGGGGGCACGAGGGGGACGCTGCCAACAGGCAACAGCTCCCTGGAACGCCCTGAGACTCACCCCCCTCCATTGAGAGAGAGAGAGTGCCGTGTATGCAACAGAGGCCACCCGGCGGGTACAGAGCCCACAAAACAGAAGCCCGACGGGCCGCTCGGCCCCACCCGGTCGGATCCCAAGAGGACATTGGCTGTGCGTTCCCGGGCCTGGACAATGAGCAGCTGCGACGGGCCCAGCAGCGGGACCCGGACCAGGCGGTGG